GAATAGTATTCCATTGTGTAGATGTACCACATTTTCTCTGTCCACTCTTCGGTTGAGGGACATCTAGGTTGCTTCAACTTCTGGCTATTACAAATAAAGCTGCTATGAACATAGTGGAACAGACATCTTTGTTGTATGAATGGGCATCTTTTGGATATATGCCTAAGAGTGGAGTTGCTGGGTCTTGTAGTAGGTTTATTCCCATTTTTCTGAGGAATCTCCATACTGATTTCCAAAGTGGCTGAACCAGTTGGCACTCCCACCAGCAATGGAGGAGTGTCCCCCTTTCGCCACATCCTCTCCAGCATAAATTGTCATTGGTGTTTTTGATTTTAGCCATTCTGACAGGAGTGAGATGGTATCTCAGAGTTGTTTTGATTTGCATTTCCCGGATGGCTAAGGATGTTGAGCACTTTCTCAAGTGCCTCTCAGCCATTTTAGACTCGTCTATTGAAAACTCTCTATTTAGTTCTGCAGCCCACTTTTTAATAGGGTCCTTTGGTGTTTTGGAGACTTGCTTCTTGAGTTCTTTGTAAATTTTGGAGATCAACCCTCTGTCAGATGTGGGATTAGTGAATATTTTTTCCTATTCTGTGGGCTGCCTTTTTGTCTTGCTGACTGTGTCCTTTGCCTTACAGAAGCTTCTCAGTTTCAGTAGGTCCCATTTGTTAATTGTTGATCTCACTGTCTGTGCTACTGGTGTTATGTTCAGGAAGCTGTCTCCTGTACCAATTCGTTCAAGGGTACCACCCACTTTCTCTTCTAAGAGGTTCAGTGTGGCTGGATTTATGTTGAGGTCTCTGATCCATTTGGACTTAAGTTTTGTGCATGGCGATAAACATGGATCGATCTGCATTCTTCTACATGCCAGTCTCCAATTATGCCAGCACCATTTGTTGAAGATGCTTTCTTTATTCCATTGTATATTTTTAGCTTCTTTGTCAAAGATCAGATGTTCGTAAGTGTGTGGGTTAATACCCAGGTTTTCAATTCGATTCCATTGGTCTACCTGTCTATTTTGGTGCCAATACCAAGCTGTTTTCAGGACTATAGCTCTGTAATAGAGCTTGAGATCAGGGATGGTGATGCCTCCGGACGTTGCCTTGTTGAACAGGGTTGTTTTGAGACAAATCTTAAACTACTATGTTAGTTGCCAGCACGGCTCAGCTTAGTGTAAGCATTGGTTCATGGCATTGGCAGCTGGCTCCTCTCCACTTGGTTCCCTGAGAGCTTAGCCTTATGGTGGAGGTACCAGCGGGTGCCAGGTTTACCACCTCAGCTCTGGGAAGTTGTTGAGTCCACATTGTCACTGAGTAGTTCACTACCTGCTGTTCATAAACCCCATATAAGTGTTCAGTAGCAGGGTCTCTTAAAAGAGCCATGCTTGTTTTTGACAGGAGCAGCCAAGAAAGCTGCCTCTTAAAGGAGCTGCACCTCTGTCACTAGTATTGCATGGTTATCAGGAAGTCACATTTGGCTCTATCTTTGTGTGCTTAGAATCTTTTTAAAAGCTTTCTCAGGTCTTATGTGGATGTAGGATGCCCAGAAGTTTGGGCATCATATGTTGACAGCATTTCTCTGTGTCCCAATAGCCACTCCTAAATAACCAGACTGAGACTTATTATTAATTATGAATGCTCAGCCAATAGCTCAGGCTTGTTACTAGTTAACTCTTACATTTTAAATTAACCCATATTTCTTATCTACACTCTGCAATGTGGCTCGATAATCTTGTTTCAGTACAACAAGTTCATCTCCTCCCTGTCTCCTCTCTATTGAGAGACCTCTCCTCTCCTTCTTCTTGATCTCTGTTTTTTTTTGCAAGTCCCACATAACTTGTCCAGCTATTGGCCAGTCAGTTTCTTTATTAACACAATCATAATGACACATTCACACAGGAAAAAAGGGCTATCCCACACATGGGCATCATTCCACACCAAATAGCCAGACTCTGAGCTTAGGAAATAGGTTTATCAATTCCTTGCTAGTTTTCCTTGTTTGACATATTCCTACAGAAAAATACAAGAGCATAAAAAAGTAAACATAAGTCAAGAATAATGGTGCACAACAACTAGGGAGGCAGAGACAGGTGGATCTTTGTGAGTTTGAGATCAGCCTGGTCTATAGAATGAGTTTCAGGACAACAAGAGCTACATAGTGAGACCCTGTCTCAGTAAAAAAGTAGATATAAAATTAAAATCAGTCAGCATCAATAATTACAAGGACAGTCTTGTTTATTTATATCCCCAACCATTTCCCCATTTCTGGTACTAATTTTTCAAGATTTATTTTATTTCTATGTATATGTGTGTTTTACTTGCCTTTCTGTGCACCGCAATCCTACCAGGTACCTGCGGAGTCCAGAAGAGGGTGTTCGATCCCCTGAGACTGGAATTTCAGATAGTTATGAGCTACCCTATGAGTGCTAAGAATCCAGCCTGGGTCTTTTCTAGGAGCTGCCAGCTCTTAACTACTAAGCCATCTTTCCAGCTCTTCTGGTATTAATTTGAAGCAATTTCTGACCATGTTTTCATTTTGTCCTTCAATATTGCAATATGACTCTCTAAAATAAAAGAACTTGTTTGAAAACCTATACTGACAGCCACATAAGAATACCATTACCACTTTTTAAAAAAGGCAGGGCAGTGGTGGCACATGCCTTTATTCCCAGCACTCAGGAGACAGAAGAAGGCAGATCTCTGAATTGGAAGCCAGTCTGGTCTACAGAGTAAGTTCCAGGGCAGCCAAGTCTACACAGAGAAACTCTCCATCAAAAAAAAAAAGAAAAGGGAAGAAAGAAAGAAAGGGGAAGAAAGAAAGAAAGGAAGGAAGGAAGGAAGGAATGAAAGAAGGAAAAAGGAAAGAAGAAAGGCAAATACTGTATGGTTATACCAATTTCCCCTCCTTCATGGCCTAGGGTTTGAACTTATGGCCTCCTTACTGCTAGGCAAGAGATCTACTGTTGTAGCATTGGTAGCATCCCAGCCCTGAATATAAGTATCTACAGTTGGCAGGCCCATAGAGATTAAGTAAAATGATGTTTTTATGGACACTTACATGAAGAGAATAGAAGTTGTGTAAGAATTTCAGCTTGCAAGGTGAAATATTCTGGAGACTGGTTGCAAAGTTATGTGAGCATGCTTAATACTACTAAATTACTGACTTCAAAATAGTTGGCAGGAAATTTTGAATTTTTATTACAGTTTAAATAGAATCTCACAATTCCTTAATCTCATCAGCTCCCTAAGGTCCAAGTTGCCATCTATGTAAGTATCATAATCCCTTTAAATGTATTTGCTGAATTAATATCTAAATAAAATGCATAATTGTGGAGTGTGGGTATATAGCTCAGTTGGTAGAATACATACTTAGCATGAAGACGGCACTGAGTTTGATTCCCAGAACCAGATAAGAAAGGCTTGGTGAGGAGCCCAGCGATAGTGGTGCACATTTTTAATCACAGCACTCAGAAGGCAGAAGCAGGCAGATCTCTATGAGTTCCAGGCCAGCCTGGTCTACAGAGCGAGATCCAGGACAACCAGAACTACACAGATAAACCCTGTCTTGAAAAATAAAACAAAGAAAGCAAAGGGGGAGTTTGGTGAGTATGGCAGAGAGTTCAAGGCAAGGCTAGACTGGGCAACTTGAGACACTATCTTAAAAACTACAACAATGAAGAAAAAACCTCACTGTGCAACCCTGTCTGTCCTAGTAAACAAGGCTAGTCTCAAACTCACAGAGATCTGTCTGCCTCTGCCACCCAAGTGCTGGGATTTAAGGTCTCACCACAGCAACCCTTGAGACCCTGTCTTTAAAAAAAAAGAAAGCACAAGTATCCAAGGGTTTCCTTTTCTTTTCTTCTAATCTTTATTACATCTTTTTTAGTTTTGTTTTTAAACTTTTTTATTTAAAGATTTATTTACTTATTATGAATACAACATCTTGCCTCCATGTATGTCTGCATGCCAGAAGCACCAGATCTCATTAAGGATGGTTGTGAGCCACCATGTGGTTGCTGGGAATTGAACTCAGGACCTCTGGAAGAGCAGACAGTGCTCTTAACCTCTGAGCCATCTCTCCAGCCCTCTTTATTACATCTTATTTAGTGTGTGGGATGGGGGCAAACACAATACGTACTATGGTACAGGCGTGGCAAAGAGAACAAGTTACAGGAGTAAGTTTTCTTCTATCATGTGAGTCTCAGGTCAAGGCACCTTTACCTATGAACCATGTATTCCACCAGGGTCTTATATTCTATTTCACCCATTTTTATGTTTTGGAAAAGGATCTCTCTCATGTAACTCTCTGGCTGGTGTTGAAGTCAGGATCCTCCTGCCTCAGCTTCCTGAGTGCTCAGAGTACAGGTGTGTTCTACCATGTTCAGCTAAGTTTCTTTGCGTCCGTGTATGTGCACAATTTTGCTGTGTTGGGTTTCCACTCTACCTTTGAGTTACAGTCGCGGTTGTCTATGTTGTTGTGCAAAAATATTTTAAATTGTATTTGTGTGGGTAAGCACAGAGCATGCATGGAGGTCAAAGGACAATCTTGAGTTCTTAAATGTTTTGTTTTTTTTTTCTCTTTAGGGCTTTTTTTTTGCGCTTTTGACATAAGGTCTTCGGTAGCTCAGATAGACATAAATCACTATGTACTTAAGGCTGGCATTGAATTCTGGATCCTTTTTTCTCCAGTTCCCAAATGCAAAAATGAGCCACTATTTCCAAGGGGCGGGGATGGCGGTGTAACCAGGTTCAGCTGGATCTGTAAAGGCGAAGCTTTGTCACTTCATGGCAATGACAAAATGAGATCAGGTAGGACAAGCCCCCAAAAAAGATGCCTTCCAAAGGCTCATAAAGCTTGGGAAAGAGTAAAAGAGCAGAGACCGGTCGGGGCTCCGCGGGGAAAGCCCTTTGGCCTTTTGCCGCTTTTCCACGGGAGCCTGCCCCGACGCGAGCGGGGGCGGGGCTTGAGCCGGACGTGACGCATGCGCGGCCAGCTGGGACGCAGTCATAGAGGGTGGGTTAACAGCGCACTGTCGGCGGACTGGCAGAGGTGTCGCTCGGACTTCCGGCCAGTCTCCCTGAAAGACCCGCGGTGTCAGCTCGCTGGGCGGTTAGCGGCCGCAGGTCTCTTGGGTGAGGGGACCGCGGTAGTGGCGGCGGCGACCCCGCGGGCGGGATGTTCCGAGGATTCAGCAGTTGGTTGGGCCTGAAGCAGCCCGAGGGGGCGGCGACGAAAGAAGAGCAGCCCCGCGGGGACGAGCTGTTGGCAAGAGACGTGCCTCCTGAGGAGCCCTCCAAGCCGCCGGCGGAGCCCACCGAGCCCGAGCAGCAGCCTACGGTGGACCCAGAGCTCCTCCACCAGGCCAGAGGCCTTGGCAGTGAGTCCCCTTCGGGACGCGAGGGCGGGCTGGGAGGGGACGAGGGGATGCAGGTGTGTGAGAGGGGTCGATCCTCCCCAACTTGGGACGGTTGGGTGAGGAGCTGGGCGACACCGAAGCTTCACCAAGCAGTCCTGTCATCGTGTCCTCGACGTGCCTAAGAACTTGTCGCTTTCCTGCGAAGTTTGTATACATGGCAAGCCCAGGCGCACTAAAGCGAGCAGTGTGCCGCTGTTTAGGGGTTTTTGACAAGCAGCTCGATTTGTTCAACTTGCCAGCTTTCACCTGAATCTCCACCTCCCTCTCCCAGCTAGAGTAGTTTGGAAAATGCCTTTTGTCCCAAGAAAGGTACTGTGTCAGGGAACTTGGTAAGTTACTCAAGCTTAAGTCATGCATGTGTTCTTTTGATTTTTTTTTTTAGACAGGGTCTCATGTAGCCCAGGATGGTTTCGAACTTGCCTTGTAGTCAAGGATGACCTTGACCCTACCGACTCTGCTTCCGAGGTGCTTCGTGATCAGTTCTGTCCCCCACCTCAGATTCATACAGCAGGAACTTTTCCCTGGAGGTGGGAAAGACAATTGTCTGCTGTACTCCAGTTTCAGTCCTAGATCTTTGATGACAATAAATACCCGAGTTTCATCTATTCACCATCCCCAAAGAGTTGTGAGAACAAACCCATATTTTACTGATAGTAAGCAGTACAAATAGAATTTTTCCTAAACACCCACCTGATTTCAAAGCCCATACTCCTTCCAAGATTATAGTCGAAGTTGAACAAAAAGTAGTCCTTGAGAATATAAACACCTACTGAAGTAATTCTACAGAGACATTAGCAGGCTTAAATAGCCAAAGAAGGTGACTTTGGGGCAGTGGGCCCTAAGCAGAAGTAAACATAGGAAATTGAAACAAAAATGTATACTAAATTTAATAGGGCTTTTTTGTTGTTGTTTTTTGTTTGGTTGGTTTTGTTTGCTTGTTTGTCTTTTGGTTTTTCGAGACAGTGTCTCTGTATTGTTTTGGAACTCGCTCTGTAGACCAGGCTGGCCTGGAACTCACAGAGATCCGCCTGCATCTGCCTCCCGAGTGCTGGGACTTTGTGGTTGTTTTTAAGACAGTGTGTTATATAGATAGCCACAGCTGGCTTCAAACTCACTATGTGGCCAAGGATGGCCTTGAAACCTCCATTCTCTCATCTGTCTCCTGTTGGATTACTGGAGGTCACCACCACATACCCACTAAATTTAGGAAGCTTTAAGGGTCTATCAAGTGGATTCGGGGTGCCAAAGAACAGAGAAACACAGACTTCAGTAGGAAAGGCACTAATGTTCAGAAAATTTGACTGTAAGGTACAGGGATAGAGAAAACAACTACACTATCAAATCTTTACTGTATATCATCTCAGCCAAGACTCCCAAAGACTGCACAAGGGAAATAAAGCTAAGTGTGATCCCGTGAAATCACCAGAAAAGAGTATTTTCAGTGTGGAAAATTGGGAAGGAATGAACTTGTAATATTCAAGGAATGTGAGGAGACTTTACAAGAGCAGGGGTTATATTAGGTAGTTGGGATAGATTAGTGTGGGATGAAAACCTGGTGTGGTGGCACAGGCCTGTAACCTCAGCATTTGGAATTCTTAGGAAGATCAGGAGTTCAAGGCCAGCCAACCTCAGCTACATAGTGAGCTCCAAGCCAGCCAACAAAAAAAAAAAGCTAGGCCTATGCCAATAATGCTGTTTAAGAGACTAAGGCAAGTGGATCACTGAATCTAGGCTTGCTTGGGCTACAATGTGAGCTCAAGGCCAGTTTTGACTACTTAGTGAGCCATTTATCTGTAAAGAACTCCTGATCTTCCTGTTTCTACTTCCTAAGTGCTAAGATTCTGGGTGGGCACCATCATACCCAGTTAAAATTTCCCTGACATTTCTTTTCAAGACCACATACATGCTAGGCCTCTGAGCCATGCTTCCTGCCATTTTTCCTTACAAGGTTCTCCAGGTTCTCTCTGTTTGTTGGTGGTTTGTTTTCCTGTTTTCCTTACCAGGTTCCCTTGATGTTTGAGTAAGCTGAGTTTAGGTGGAACCCCCCTCCCTACTTGGGAATTTAAAGTTTTAGAATAAATGAAAGCTCTTGCTCCTATAATTGATATGACTTTACGTTAAAGTTCTAGTTTATGCACAATGTTTAAAGAGGGTGGAGAAATTATTAGATGTTTTAATTCTGCATGTTGGCCCTAAAAATACATTCTAAGAAGATGTATTTGTGTACTTTTCTTCATGGGGTTTTATTGTTTTGGTTTAGCTTTGGGTTTTTGTTTTTGTTTTTTGAGTATATCCCAAGGCTAGCTTCAAACTCTCTACATAGATGAGGCTGACTTGAACTCCTGCCTACTTCACAAGAGTGATCACTGGATAGCAAATTTAGCTATACCATGCCTGGCTCCTACCTGTGTTTTGAAAAATAAAGTATTACTAAGCCTGATTCCCAGTAAGTAGTTTCTTTAGATCTTTGAATTCTACTGGAATCCACTGAGAGCTCCATTTGTTAAGCAAACATTTGTTGAATCCCTCCCTAAGTACTTCCTGTTTAGTAGTGACCTATTTATACATTTAAGCCACTTTCTGTTACCATTACCAATAGCGAACACCCAACTTTACATTCTCTTCCTTCATTCCACACCAAACCACCTGCTCCTTAGCCCTTCCTCCTGATAAACTTAGACTTTCTTATTGTCACTGTCTCCAAAGAAGCAAACAGCATCTATTATTCAGTAGTTAGTTGTTTTGAAAGCCAACCAAATCATCTTCTTCTGTACTCTTTGTGTATATGGGGGTTTTGTCTGTGTACCGTGTGTGTTCTTGGTGCCCACAGATACCAAAAGAGGACATCACATCCCCTGAAAGTGGAGGTATAGGTGGTTGTGAGCTGTTGGGAACCAAAGCCAGGTCCTCTGGAGGGGCCAGTGCTCCTAACCACTGAGCTGTCTCTCCAGCTCCTATACTCTTACTGAGCAGGGTATCTGTCATGCTAGGAGTGCTAAATATCTTTGTCATTCATACAGCTAGTGTGCACCTAGGAAAATTAGAGTGCTTTGATGAACAAGTATCTAAGCTGGGCAGAAAGATTACAAAAAGTACAAGGACAGCCTGGTTACATAATGAGTGACAGGCAGGCCTAAGCTAGATAACAAAACTCTTGTCTCAAAAAGAAAAAAAATCCAGATATAAAACATCTAATTGAGTTCTGATAGCATGGTTCCAGTTACAGAAAGAGCTTGAATCCCACAGCTTATGAACAATAGTCTTTAGAACTAGCTGTTTTAGTATGAAGAAGAAACTTAAGAACATTGCTTAGATTAGAAATTTATGTTCCTGCCGGACGGTGGTGGTGCACGCCTTTAATCACAGCACTCAGGAGGCAGAGGCAGGTGGATCTCTGTGAGTTCGAGGCCAGCCTGGTCTACAAGAGCTAGTTCCAGGACAGCCTCTAAAGCCACAGAGAAATACTACCTCGAAAAAAAAATATGTTCCCTAAAAGGAAGGACAAATTTAGGGGCCAAGATGACCCAGTAGGTATAGACACTGGCCCTGAAAGTCTGATAACCTGCTTTTGATTCCCCTATCCCACAGAAAAGTGGAGAGAAATGCCACCACTGAGTTGCCCTCTGGCGTCCAGCATGCCCACCATGGCACATGCACCTACCCCCACACACCATGTACTCATATGCATAATAATAGTTTTGTTTTTTGTTTTAGAGACAGGGACTCACTATGTAGCTCTGGCAGTCCTGGAACTCACTATGTAGACAAGGCCAGCCTCAAAATCATAGAGATTTGCCTGCCTCTGTCTCCTAAGTACTGGGATTAAAGATGTGTGCCATTATGCCCGGCACAATAACAGATTTTTGTTGTGGGTGGAGAGATATTTAAAACTGAGAGGTAGAAATGACAAGAGACTTGCAAAAGCTTTCACCTACATGTGTTAATAGTAATAAATTCTAGCGTTCTCAAAGTCATGTCCTGGAAGTGAATTACCTGGATATAAAGTTGAATCTGGCCACTTCTTTTTGGTTTTTGAGACAGGGCTTCTTTTCATAACCTTGGCTGTCTTGGAACTCGCTCTGTAGACCAGGCTGGCCTTGAATTTTCAGAAATCTGACTGCCTCTGCCTCCTGAGTGCTAGAATTAAAGGCATGCACCGCCATCGAAGGAGAATCTGTTCACTTCTAAGTGCCCTTTTAATATTAAGATTCCCAGGCTGGAGAGATGGCTCAAAGATTAAGAGCACTGGTTGTTCTTCCAAAGGTCCTGAGTTCAATTCCCAGCAATCACATGGTGGCTCACAACCATCTGTAGTGAGATCTGATACCCCCTTCTTTTTTTTTTTAAAGATTTATTTATCACATACACAGTGTTCTGCCTACATGCCAGAGGAGGGCACCAGATTGAACTGTAGATGGTTGTGAGCCACCATGTGGTTGCTGGGAATTGAACTCAGGACCCTGGAAGAGCAGTCAGTGCTCTTAACCTCTGAGCCATCTCTCCAGCCCCCTGATACCCCCTTCTTGACTGTAGGCTTACGTGCAGACAGAATACTACATAATAAATAAATCTTTAAAAAAATATTAAGATTTCCAGGATTCTAAAATTAAGTGAAATATCTGTGAACAATTAACATACCTCTGTGTAAGAATGTTAATTTGTTAAGGGTTTTTGTGTTGGGGGGGTTGGTTTTATTTTCATGTTTTTTCCCTTCCTATTCTAGCCTCATTCCTTAAATGCCACATTCTTGTCTGCTATGATAATTTCTTTGTATATGTGGGTACATGTGTGCCATGGTGCAAGTTGGGGAACAATTAGGAGTTGGCTCTCTACTTCAACTATGTGGGGGTCATTGTGCTTGGTGACAAGTATCTTTCCCCACTGAGCCATCTAGCCCCCTACTACTTTTTTGTGGGGGAGCTGGGTAACAGTCTCAATATATATCCCTGGCTGGCCTAAAACTAGCTATGTATAGAACAAGCTAGTCTTGAACTTACAGGGATCCATCCGCCTCTGCCTCCCAAATGCTGAGGTTAAAGGCGTGTACCACCATGCCCAGCCAGTTTGCCAGTTTTCAAATAGTTATCCTTAGATTAAAATAACAGTGTGGGGGCTGGAAGAGATGGTTCAGTGGTTAAGAGCTATGCAACCCTTGAAGACCTGAGATTGGATCCCGGTAAGGGTGATTTAACATACATAGGACTATACGGGGAATATTCATAGGTTCTGTGTTGTACCATTATTACAAAAGGGACCTGAACAAGTAAAGATTTGGTTTTGGTATCCAAGAAGGTCCTTGAGCAGATATCCCTGCAGATACCAATGGGAAGGTGTGATAACCATGTACTTGGATGAAGCACAGACCCTTTTTGTCCATTACAGATTATTTGTTTAACTTTGCGAGTGCTGCCACAAAGAAGATAACTGAGTCTGTTGCTGAAACAGCTCAGACAATAAAGAAATCTGTGGAAGAAGGAAAAATAGATGACATCATTGATAAGGTACATTTAGAAAACTTGTAAAAGGAGGAATTAACAAAAGTGGTAAGTAGCTAGTGTAATCATCTCCTTAACTCAAGTAAAATATAATATGCTGATGGAATTTTTTTAGAATACCTTTTCTTGATTCTTGGACAATTTCATGTATTTACACATGTAGCTTGACTGTTATTCTTACCTAATAGTAGACTTGCAAAGTAATTTGACTTTTCATGTGTTTTTCTAACAGACCATTTTAGGGGATTTTCAAAAAGAACAGAAAAAATTTGTTGAAGAACAGCACACAAAGAAATCAGGTATGATATAGATTTGCCTTAGTTTTTTTGTTTTGTTTGTGTGTGTGTGTGTGTGTGTGTGTGTGTGTGTGTATGAATATGTGTATGTTGGTTTGTGATGCTGGGGTTCAATCCCAGGTCTTTGCACATGATAGGCAAGCACTGCTACTGAGCTACACATCCAGCTTCCCTACCAAGATTTATTGAGCATTTATTATATGCTAGACCTATTCTAAGGATCTAGGAATACAAAAAAATGTATAACACTGGGGTGGAATCCAGTGGTAGAGCATGGGCATAGTATATACAAAGCCTTGGGTTAGATCTCCAGCACCAAAAAGTTTATATGTACAGCCAGGCATAGTGACTCACACCTGTAATCCCAGCACTTGGGAAGCTAAAGCAGAAAGATTGCTGTGAGTTTGAGACTGTACTCCCAGCCTGAGCTACATAGTAAATCCAGGCCAACCTGGGCTACAAAATGAAAAAAAAACTTTAAAAAATAGTCGAATGTGGTAGTGCATTGCCTTTTATCCACCACTTGGGAATCAGAGAAAGGTTGATCAATGAGAGTTCCAGGCCAGCCTTATCTACACAGTGAGTTCTAAAACAGCCAGGTCTATGTAGATAGACCGTATCTCAAAACAGAAAAATATACACACACACACTCTTACTTCAGTCTTTTACTGAACGTGATAGAGAAGAGGGTCAATAAAAAACACCAAAGTCAAGCCAGGCCTGGTAGTGCACACCTGTGATTCCAGTACCCAAGAGGCTAAAGCAAAAGGATTGCCAGGAGTTTGAGACCCGCTAGATTTGAAAGACCTAATCTAAAAACAAAAATCAAAGCAAATAATAACCTAGCTGGAACCTGTAACTCCAGCATTTGAGAGGCAAAGGTAGAAAGATCAAGAGTTTAAGCCAACCTCAACTACATATTGAGTTGAAGGCCAACCTGGGTTATATGAAACACTGTCTCAAAATCAATCAATTAATAAAACACTAACACCAGCAATAAACAGCCCATGTTTTCAGATTCTTCTTTTATCTGTTCAGCTAGAGCAGCAGCTATGGAAGGGCTAAGACTTCTAGGCTCTGCACTGCAGATAAGGATCCCAATTTTGACAGGTCTTCGAAAAATCCAGGCCCAGATACTGATACCAACTGTTTTTCATTTGTTTTTATTTTTGAGAAGGGGCTCTACATAGCCAAGACTGACCTCTAACTCGATGTATAGTCAACAAAGTCCTTGAATTCCATCCCTCCTCCCTCTGCCTCCCAAGTGGTATCATTATAGATATACATCACAATACCAGGTTTGTACAGTGCTGCGAATGCACTTAGGATCTCATGTATGCCAAGCAAGCACTCTACCAACTGAGCTACCATATCCCCAACCTAACACTAACTCTGATCATCACTTCATCCTGTGTCTGATGCTGTAACGATAAACGGCACACTTACTGAAAGTAAAACTAAGCATTTATTGTAGAAATTACTCACAAGAGACCAAACAAGTAACCCAGATGAGCCGAGTAGTTTTCCGCCGCCGAACTGGAAGCCAAAAGCCAGATAAAAAGACCAAGACTTCTGTTGTTCAGACTTTTAAACCTTCCCCCATAATGCCCCTAGCCATGCCCAAAAGTGGGCCTGGCTAGTGACGTAGTTGACCGCCTACGTCCATATAGTGTCTTTAGTCATGCCTAAAGTGGGTGTGGTTAGCGGTGTGGTAAACCGCTCTTTTATTACCTCATCTGTATGCACCTCTAGTAAGTCACATGGTTAATGGCAGCATTGTTTTCATCCTACAATTCACCTTTTAGTCTAAAAAGTATATTTAAACTTAAAACAACTAACTTGTGTCAATGATCAAAATGTATCAAACATCTATCCCATCTAAACCTAAACTTATCTGAAAGAAACACCCAAATCTGAACACCTCCTTCCAATCCCAACTCTAAAATAATTGAAAACTAACACTAACAGGTATAAACTATCCTATAATATCAATAGTAGGGAGAGGGGGCGTGGAATTCTCAAAACTACTTCCTGCTGAGATGGGACAATGATAATCTCATGGGGACCTGTGAGAAGAAAAATGTTAGTGTAACAAAATCTCAGTAGATCAGACAGTCTCTGTATGGCCGGAGATGCTTGATTGAAGTTCCTGACTGGGGTTCTGGTGTTGATTGAAGCTCTCGTCTGAAGCTCTGGCATGATTGTAGAAGACGTGCTATTTCCGTTCCTTGGTCTGGAGTTGTGTCGAGTGATGTAATTTCCAGCCAGTTTCAGGATAGTGCTTGTCAGGGGGAGTCGATGATGTGGGGCAGTTCAGATGCCTCCAGTCGAATCAGGTGAACTCAAGGAAGTGGATCCTCATTCTCTTTCTGAAGCAGTTGAAGATTGCTGTCATGAAGTCCCTTCTCTGGAAAACTCAAACATTAATGTTAACAAATAAATATTTTAACTTTTATATGTATGCATACCGGAAGAGGTGACAATAGGGAAGATGGTAAACATGAAGGAAATTAGACTTTTCAGAAAAAGAAATCCACAGATAACAGTCCCTAATTTTATTTTCTTCTGTCTTACATCAATGGCTCTTTGATATAATACAGAAGTTCTAAATTTTATGTAAATAATATGCTTGAATTTAGAGTAGGAGAGCCAATCCAACTCCAAAGCCAGCTTCAGTTAAATGAATGGGGACTGAAGTATATGAAGAAACAAAGATAAAAGGGTACTATGAAAAACAATATAGAGAGATTTAGACTTTGATACCACACATAGAGTTATTGTTTGTTTGATGGTCCTCAGGGTAGCTATTCATTCTTCTTCAGGAATCCATATGTCCAGTATTCTTTGCTGAGTTTACCTGTGAAGACAAAAAACAAAACACTTGTCTTTCCTTTTAGGAGGTCACTTTACCCATGGTAGAATATGAATTTGTAGATGAGCTGTTATCTTCCTCCTCCTGAGATGTCTTCTGTTCTGATCGAATCTTAATTAATTTAGATGGGACCCAAAGCTTTTCTTCTCCTGTGGAAACATGGGCATAATCCCTTCCCCATCATAACACATACCCTGGTTTCCAGACTGAGGTCATAACATCCTTAAAATACACTGGTTGGTTCAGTTCAGAAGTCTTCTCTGTAGTCCAGTGTCTGTCTGCTGCAGTTTGTCCTTTTTTATCAGCATTAAGAAAATTCAATGTTGGGCTGGAGAGATGGCTCAGAGGTTAAGAGCACTGTTTGCTCTTCCAGAGGTCCTGAGTTCAATTCCCAGCAACCATATGGTGGCTCAGAACCATCTGTAATGAGACCTGGTGCCCTCTCCTGGCGTGCAGACATACATGGAGGCAGGATGTTGTATTCATAATAAATGAATAAAATCTTTAAAAAAAAAAAGAAAAAAAAAAGAAAATTCAATGTTAGTAAAGTATCATGTAGCCTGTGTTTAGGGGTCTTTGTTCTCCCTGGCTGTTTATGAAGCATCTCTTTTAAGGTTCGGTTAGATCTTTCAATCACTGCTTGTCCTGTGGGATTGTAAGGTATACCAGTTACATTTTTTATAATATTTGAAAAATTGTTCCAATTTACTGGAGACATATACTGGAGCATTGTCAGTTTTTATTATTTTAGGTATACCCATAACAGCCATCACCTCTAAGAGGTATGTAATAACAAAATCAGCTTTTTCAGAGCTGAGGGCAGTAGCCCATTGGAATCCTGAGAACGTGTCTATGGTATGGTGTACATATTTCAAACTGCCAAATTCTGGGAAGTGAAATATATCCATTTGCAAAAGTTCATTTCTATGAATACCTTTAGGATTACAACCTGCTGGTAATGGAGTTTGATGGTAGAATTAGCAACTGGGGCAATTTCTTACTATTTCTTTGGCTTGTTGCCATGTGATAGAAAAATCCTTCTTTAAGCCTTTGCTGTTAACATGGTGTTTCTTATGAAATTCTGAAGCTTCCAACACATTACCTACTAATAAACGATTAATTTCATCATTGCCTTGTGCCAGAGAACCTGGCAGACCTGTATGGGATCTGATGTGTGATATATATATATATAGGATGAGTCCTGTTTCTGATGGTTTCCTGTAATTGTAAAAACAATGAGGTTAATTCTGTACTATCAGGAACAAATTCTGCAGTCTCAATGTGCAAGACAACTCTTTGTGCATACTGAGAATCTGTGACTATATTGAGAGGCTCTGTAAAGTCTTTAAGTACCATGAGAATGAGAATGGCATATAACTCTTCCTTTTGTACGGAGTTGTAAGGGCTTTGAACTACTTTACTTATATTTCCTGATTTATACCCTGCCTTACCTGATTTGTTTGCATCCGTGTAGAAGGTAAGAACTCCAGAAATAAGTGTTTGCCTCATGATACTCGGAAGAATCCAAATTGTTTTCTTTATGAATTTGATTCTCTCTGTTTGGGATAGTTATTACTAATACTTCCCAAAAAGTCACTGCAAGCTATTTGCCAATACTCATTATCCTTCCATAAGGAGGAAATTTCCTCATTCGTTAAAGGTACAATAATTTCAGCTGGGTCTTTCCCAGTCAGTTGACGAAGCCTTAACTTACCTTTTAATATCAAATCGGAGATCTTTTCTATATATGTTTTCAATTTTTTATTCTGTTTATGTTGCAGAAATACCCATTCTAGTATGATGTCTTCCCTCTGTATTAATATTCCTGAGGGGTATTCTCTAGATGGTAAAATAACCAGAATACAGTCCAGCTTTGGATCCACACGGTACACATGTGCTTCTAATATTCTCTTTTCTACCCATTCTAATTCTTTTTCAGCCTCAGCTGATAGTACTCGTGGGCTGTTTAGGTCTTTATTTCCTTTTAAAGCCATTTTCAGGTGTTTTAAATCATGCCCTTCTACACCGATAATTGTCTGTAATTGAGAGATTTCTCCTAATAGTTTTTGAAGATCATTAAGAGTCCGGTAACGATCTCTTCTGATCTGTACTTTCTGCGGTCTAATTTTCT